CTGGCCTGGTGGTCCAGTCCCAGGATAGGGATGGGAGTTCCATCTATAGCCCCACCGCAGTTTGGGAATCCCATCGCAGCGAAGCCATCTATGATGACCTGGACGTTTCCCAGGGTCACTACCTTTGACAGCAGTAGCTCAACGACTGCGTTGGCTACTTGCATCACAGCAACCCCCACGGTAGATTTGCTGACGCCAACGTGATTTGCGACTGACCGGTAGCTGTCTGGCGTTGCAAGCTTCCAGAGGGCTATGGCCACTCGCTTTTGGACAGTCAGGGCTGCTCGCATCCGGGTGTCCTTGCGCTTCAGGGCAGGGGACAGCAACTCAAAGTTCCAGGAAAGTTCCCTTCCGCATACGAAAGTTTCGCAGCCACTGTGATTCATCCCAGACCTGCAGCACTATGCGGTCCCACCAATCCGTGCTTGTTTCCCAGGCCCAGAATCGCCGTTCCACAGCATCAATATGACCCATTGCCACCATGATGTTCACGGCGCGGGGTCCCGTGCTTTGTGAGAGGTCTGTGCCACTCTCAGATTTCATGTCCTCACCGCGCTGCCGTAGCCTCCTCGACCGATTTCTCAGCATCTGCCTCTGGAAAAGGTGGATAATAAGGTGCGAGGTGTTGACAACGGCCATAACTGCAGCGATGGTCACAGCGGGCTCCATGCTCGCAGTGCTGTGGCGTCCGCGCTGTCACTCACCAGAAAAGTGCACGAGCTGATTGCCCGCTAGCGCTTTCAGGGAGGGAGGGCGGGAGTGACGGTTGGATGACGACAGTTACCCAAAACCACCCTCGACACATTTGTTTCCCCAGCAGGCATTAGGGGCTCGACCCAGAATTCCAATGGGCAGCAGGGACTGCGGGAACTGTGGGATAGCTGCCCACAGTGCACCACTTCCAATGTCAACACTTGCCCCGTTAGTGTGGACTCACAAAGTCGAATTACTGTCCTTAGTGTGGATACACACGTTCGACTTTGTAATATCGATTCCACATATTTGATTTAAGTACAATCGAACTACTCTCGTAGTGTAGACATACCCTAAGAAACAAACAAACCAAAAAATTTGCTAAAGAATTTAAATGCAACCCCCCCTCCAAAAAAAACAACCCCCCAAACAAACCAAAAACCTAAGGAAAGGCCGCAACTAGGCTCAGGTTACCACTAACACATGCTTGTGCAAATCATTGAAGTCAATGCAGCTAAGCTGATTTACACCAGCTGAAGATCTGCCCTCTGGTTGTAACTCTTGCTGGGGGCGCCTCTTTTCCTTCTCTCCCCCCCATGCTAGAACCTGAGGAGGAGCATTAGCCTGGACTAAATGGTGTTTTGGAGAACTGAACTGGAAAAGGATCATTTTGCAACTTTCCCCTTTTTCCTCACGTCAGGTCTAGTGCAGGAAGTGCACAATGGGAGCCTTATCCCCATATGCTTCATTCTGACCTACATGTGGAGGATGCCGGGGGATAAGACTGGTGAACACTCCACACCTGAACTTTTAACTATGATCGGGATCAGCCATCCCAAATGCTTGTTAAAAATTCCTAAGTATTTTTAATTTTGTCACAAAATATGAATTATGGGCAGGTCCCCAAACCCACCAGTGCAGTGTGCTCTCTTTTTTGTCAAAGTTTCATTTTTTGGTGATTTTGTCTGACCAGTTGTATCGCTCAGACCCTCGGAAAGTTAGGTAACACTTTTAGGTGCCTAAATATGGATTCATATGCCTAAATTTAAAATGCAAAGTTCGTATAGTTTTGCCCAAGTGCTTTAGGTACACAAGGCCAGAAGAGGTAGGGCTCAGCCAAGAGTGTGTGGGACTTTTTTGTTCCAAACATGTGTGTGTGGGGGGAGGAGGAGGGGTAATAGGCACTGACTTCCCCCTCTTCCCCGGGGGTGCTCAGCACCCCCTCCCATTCCACCCCTTCCATGAGGCCTCACCCCCTCTCACCTCTTCCCTGCCCCCATTCCAATCCCTTCTCCCAAATCCCTGCCCCAACTACACTTCCTCCCTGCCAATATTCCAACTCCTTCCCCAAATCCCCACCCCGGCCCCACCTCCTCCCCCGACCACGCCCGGAGCTTGCTAACACTGCCAAACAGTGTTTGGCGGCAGCCGGTCAGGAAACGCTGGGAGGTAGGCAGAGGAGCGGGGATGTGGCACACTCAGGGGGGGGGGGGGGGAGGAGGGAGAGGTGGGACTCACAGGAAGGTTTGCAAGTAAACAGAGCCATTTACAACCAATTGTCCTAGTTGATGGGAGCCATCAAGATTCCAAGCCATCATTAGTGGCCCACACTTTGCATAATTACAATAGTATCTCAGGGTTATATTTCATATTTCTAGTTTCAGATACAAGAATGATATATTTATACAAATTGGATGACCACACAGTAGATAAGCTTTGTAATGATACCTTACAAAGGTATCTTTGCATGAAGCATATTCCAGTTAGATTATATTCACACTCATTAGCATATTTTTATAAAATCATATAGAATGCAATGTCACAAGGTCCTTATCCAAATATATTTGGACATCAAAAAGGAGCATTTATGAGTTTGGTTCTAGGGATAAGTGAATGGTTCAAAGGTGGTTGAGTCTGGATGTTTTTTCCTTTTGAATTTAGTCTCATCTCCATTTTTGACCTGCTGATGCCCCCATTCTAGTTGTGACCCAAGTTATTCAGTTGCTGCCATAGCACTGGGACAGACACTTTGAGTGCCCATAGTTGTCAAAATGAGATCATCACAGTTTGATCTAATTAGAACTGGGGATATATAAAATGGGTCAGAAAAATGGAGAACCCTGAATCTTTACATAAAACAAAAACCTTTTCCAAGATTCAGAAGTGTTTCCTTAATCTTTTTCCTCCCTCCATTATTTTTTGTTTTTCTGTGACACTGCACTTTAGGGTGTTAGTCACATCTGGAAGCATAAATACTGAATTTTGCCAAAAAAAATCTGTTTTCACAAGATTTCAGATGCACATTGGCTGGGGCAAGAGGTTCAGATTTGTTTGGTACATGTGAACTGAAGTGAAACTCCAACCCTTTTGAGATTTTGAGTCCCATGACCAGTTAGACTCTGAGCGCAGAACAAAATCCTTTACCCTGTCTAAAAGGCCAAGGAGGTCACCTTCAAATTTAGCAGCTTCAGGCCTTTTCAGCACAAACTTATTTAAGATTTTATTTACCTTTCTGCCATGTGACAGTCTTGAAAAGATTAATCTCAGTAGTTGCTAGTGAATGTCCAGCGATCAAGGTATTCTCAATTATTATGACAATCTGTTGCTTTTATCTTGCGCTTCATTTGAGGTGCTGTGTCTTCTCTATGAAAATCTATTCTGTATCTTCTTTATAAGCACCTCACAAGACTGGGCATTTTGAGGCTCACTAATCACTAGTAAATCTTGCTCTCCCAAAGATCACCCATTTTTTATTCCCTACTACTTTAAAATGTAATGTAGGATTTCCCCTAATTTTAAGAATGGCATACTGGACTCAATTTAAAAAAAAATAAATCAAAAGCAGCACAACAAATGTAGCTTTTTGGGAAAACCACTGATTAAAAAAAAAAAAAGACTTCCCAACAGGATTCTCAGGGACATTCTCTGTTCAGGAGTGTTTTCTTTTTAACATTGTGGAATCTCTGGTAGCTTTTCCTTACGACTATAGGAGCCAGTTATCCCAATGAATACATACCATCAGGGGCTCGTCCACCTGCACATCTACCAATGTGATATATGCCATCATGTGCCAGCAATGCCCCT